TCCATAGACTCAACAATACATCTTTTCGAAGAGAGCATAGAACAATATGCCATAACCATGCCTCCAGACCCCGTGCCAGGATGTTTCATTTGGGGAAACTTGGAGGGGGGGTGAGTGAGGCCTCTCCCCGCCCAAAAGAAGCCAGTCTTGGAAGTTGAAAACCTCCAGAACTCAACTGCCACCATGCTCACAGCTGTTCTCCACATGGTTGGGTCGAGCCTCACCCCAGAGTGAATCTATTCCTGGAATGTGTGGCCGCAAATGTGGCTGCATGACATCTCATACTTTACACCACTAATATTCCAAGAGTAGTGTACGATATTAGATGATAGATAATAGGGGTATATAGTAGAAGGCAACCAATTTCAGGAGAAAAATATTTTACAGACATATTACAGACATATTACAGACATTTTACAGACATATATACATATAATGTAACTGTCCTCCCGTTGCTCATTGATTTGCTTGAGCAGGCCAAGTAACGTCTCCATTGTGAGTAATACAGACATATTTTACAGACACACATATATATACACACATATACACACATATATACATATGTGAATACACATGTGTATATACATATGTGTATATGCACATATATGCATATATACATATGTGTATATGTGTATATACATATATACATACATACACAGATACATACACATATACACACAAATATATATATACACACACATGCAGCTCAACCTTTAACAACATGTTAGAAGGGCTTAATGGCTCCCGGGTGAAATACAACAATCTTCACACTTTCCTCTAAGAAACCTTTTTAGGATCATTTTTAGCGGATTATGCATAAAAAACAATACAAAATAAATTATTTCAGTTCTGCTTTGGGGGTGGGGGTTGGGGTTTGGGATGAAAACATCCAAAATATGGTGGTGAGATGGTATAATGGTGCAGAATTGGTGTTCAAATATTACATGCAATCAAATATTGTGAACTACTTTATAAAAAATTAAAATTTTTAAAAGAATAAATGGTGTGGGGTGATACACTTTTTCACTAAAATTTTTCTATTCCTTCCCACTCCAAAATAACCTCATGTTTTCAAACAATAAATAGGTGACTTTCCTAACTGAAGCTCAGGCAATGATAGTACAGTGGTTAAGGTGCTGTCTTGCACACAGCTGACCTGGGTTTGATCCAGAACCCCATACTGTCTTTTAAGACTGCCTAAAGTGATCCTTAAATGCAGAGCCAGGGTTAAGAAGGCCTTAGTACAAAAGGGTATCTGCCCCCACAAACAAACAAACAAATTGAAGCTCCTAAAAACATGTGTGATAAGAGAAACCAAACAAACCAAACAAACAGTAATCTATAAAAGCAATAATAAAGACAGAAGGAATTTTTAACCACTGACAAGATTTTCTTCCAGATTTCTGCTCCTTAAAATGTAAAGAAATCTACAAAGTTTGCAGCATAGTTTTCATAATGGCTTAACTCACTTACATGTGAATAGGCTTCATGCAGATATCCATGCAATTAGTGAAAACAGTATGGAAAACCTACTATAGCCCTACTATACACTTTCAAAAGAGTTCTGAATTTGCTTTGCTGAAATACTATATGTGTGGATATTTCAATAAATAATCCACAAAGAGTATGTAATTCAAGCAGCTGCACATCAGAAATTCATTTTTAAAAACTCTGTATTTTAGCATAAGTTATGACAGCTATAAGGCTTTTAGCATTTTTTTGTATCAACTTCCTGACAATCTTTCTAAAAACAACCAAAGTCTAAAATCTTCCCGAAGGACAACATTTTTGCTGTCAATATTACCTAAGTAGCAATATTGTCAGTTTAGATTTCCCAGCCTCTAAAGGAATGAGGAATTAAAACTTTTTATGTGTAAAAGCCAGAGTAAAAGTCCAGCTAGTTGAGCTCTTATCTTGCAAGACGCTGATCTAAGTGAAATCCCAAGCATGATTCTCTGAGCCCACCGGGAGTGATTTCTCAGCACTGAATAGAGCCAGGAATAAGCCCTGAACACAGCCTGGTATGGCCCTAAAACAAAATAAAAAATTGTGTGTGCACACATATCTACACAAGCACGAACACGTACATTTAGCATTTGTGTCTGTTTATGTACACCATCAGCGACTACTGCATTTCTCAAGCAGTGACCAAATGCTTAGCTGTGGGCCTCCAAAACATTCTTAGGTGACTACAGTTAAAAACTGTCAATGGGGAAAAGGGACACTTCATAAAAAAAAAGGGGTGAACTAGTAAGATGGAAAGCACAGGAACATATTTAAAATACACAAACATACACACACACAGATACACTGCCTACTAGGAGCTATCACTTTAACAGGAGGATATTTATAAATCAACCTTTTTCATGGGGGGAGGTGGCAGCTATACCTGGCAAAAACTCAGGACTTACTGCTGGTTTTTATCTGTCAATGTGACTCAGGAGAACCAATGTCGTCCCACGGATCAAACCTAGCTTGGATGCAAGACAAGAACCTTACCCACTGCACTATCTCCCCATCCCCTAAATTAACTCTGGAAATGTTCTATGAATTGATAAGACTTGGATCTTAATTTTTGGGGGGAGGGATTGGGGGAAGTTTACCCATTTAAGTTGCAGTAAACAATTTTTCACATTGAACCTTTCACACTGTAACCAAGAAAATAGCAAAGCCTCCCCTGCAGTGGAGTGTCTGGAGCTTGCTCTCTCCAGGGCTCCATATCTGGCTCCCCTCTCCCCAGTGCCCAGACCAGAGGGACTTAGAAGATTGCCAATTTATAATGCCATCAACACCCAAACAAGCCTTCCTCAGGGAAGTTCTGTCTTCCCCAGCATTTGCTCCCACTGAGCTGGGAGGCTAAGCCTGGTCAGGTACATAAATTACCATGCAAACTAAAACTGCAAGTCCACACAGAGAAGAAGTTTCTTCAGGGGTTGTCTGTACTCATACCTGCTGTGTCCTGGGAAGGCTGAGGGCTTGTTTCTGGGGTGCCATGTGTGGGGGGTATATGAAACTTCCCAGGTTCAGATTTTAAGTTGAATTAACCTTTTCTTGCAACTCGCTCTCAACATGTAATTAACTAGCTTATTAGTATAAAGAAGTATAAAGCCGTGCTTAAGACCACTCTCCACACGTTCGGATGAGCCTCACGCATGAAGGAACCGGCAGAGGAACCCAGGTGTGCAGGACCCAGAGCATAGATCTCCAAGCCTACGCGGATTGGGACTGGGACCTCCTCCACCCAGATCCCAAATCTTCCAGTATGTAGGCATTACACCCACCAACTGTCCCCAGTGCCGTGTAATCCCATCAACGCCCAAGACCCAGAGACTATATAAAACTCTGCTCCCAGAAGCTAGACATCTTATCATCTAGTTCTTACTTTGGAGAACCTGGCAGGCTACCAAAAAATATCCTGCCCACACGTCAGAGTCTGGAAAACTCCCCGTGGTGTATTCAATATGCCAGAAACTAGTAACAATGATGGGTCTCATCCTACTGACCCTGAAAGAGCCTCCGATGTGGCACTTTCTAAAATCTCAGGGCTAGGACGAAGGAGATATTACTGGGGCCTGCTTGAAGCAATTGATGAACACCAGGATGACAGTGATGATGATAACCATAGGGTTAAGTACTATTGTGGGGAAGGGAGAACATAAAAATAGAAATAGAGAATGGAAAAGATGGCAAAATAGGCACACATAAGAGCAGACTGCAGTGCCATTCTGAGAATGGAAGTAGAAGAGTGTACATTTTCGAGACTTTGGAGTATTGTCTGAGGTCGCTTCATTTAAGCTGAATAGCATGGCACAAACAGTTCTAAGATGAAGAATATTAGCATCTGACTATAACTATGAGATTCTATATCTGATGATTTATGATGACAAATGGGTCAAACAAATTAATTGACCCTGAGCACTTGATGGGGGAAAACCCAATAGTTATAATGTGGTTATTGTATCACTCACCTCTAAGGTTAATTGCAATCACCAAAACATCCACAGGAGGAGAAACTATGAATATGCATAGATTAAAGTCTCCTAGTCAGTACCCCAGTAGTTGTGAAAATTTCACCTTGTATATCTTATTTATCTCATTCCATCTTATTTTCCCTTTCAAAAGACATGAGCTTAAAAACGTGGACCCCCCCCCCCCATCCCTATTGTCAAATTATAATTTAGCACTGGAACAGCAATCCTTCCAGCATATCTAATGAATTTCTTTGGTCCTTTCTTAAAGCCTTTAATCTTCATAAATAATAGCTAAGTAAACTTGAGGCACTTGGGCATTTTTTAGCTTAATATAATCAAACCCACAGCTGACACTTCATTTCTTCTCATTTAAAAATAAATCTATCTTGTCTAGATAGACTCTACATGAATACACACACCTAACAATATAAATCAAAGCAACATAGAATGATGAGACCAACTCATTACCTTTATAGGAAATGCTCTGTTTTCAGAAGTGTCTCCAAAAATTCTTTGTTTATTAAGTCAATTCATATTCTTTAAATAATTCACACCATATGGTTCTGAGACAATAGTTTTCAAAAACACTTGAGAAACTTTTTATGAGAATTTCCATACATATATGAAAAACTAATAATTTGAGGGCATTTTCTTCAAAAGTAATGTCTCAAAAGTAAAAATGAACATCATTTTACCTACTAGGTGCTTTTTGTGTACATGTTTCCCTACATATATGTCTTCTATCTTCACCTTCTAATATTTTGGCAAAAATTTTTAGAAAATATGAGTAAAAACAATTTGGGCAACTTCTAAAGAATGGTTCCATTAAAACCTAATGGTCCTACCTAATCTAAACACTTGAATGGGAAAAATTAATACCCAAATGCCACGGATGTGAAAACCCAACTGTAATGGCCTCTAAACAAGAGCTGGATGCTTCTAGAACAAGTTTGGAATCAACAAGAAACAGGTTCAGACTCTTATTATCCCAAACCTGAGACTTTTAAATATTAAAATAGAAATACTTACTTGCTTTGCTTTTCCATGCTAGCCACCCTGAGAGATTCCCATCTTGAGTTGAGGAGATTCATTTGTTCTTGAACTTCCGTTTCTTCATCTTCTGATAATTTCCCTGTTCCAATGAGCCGACTTCCCAATTGCAGAACATTTCCAACCCGTCCCTGATGGGATGTTAAATCCATCATGTACCCCTGACAAGGAAAGGAATTGTCAAATGTAGTGAATACTTTAAGAAAATTATGGTTTGTGCATTTTCTATCTTTGCTAATTTAATTATGCAGCCTGGTTAATGGGTAGCACTGTAGCACTGTCCTCCAGTTGTTCATCAATTTGCTCGAGTGGGCCAGTAAAGTCTCCATTGTAAGACTTGTTGTTACTGTGTTTGGCATATTGAATACGTCACGGGTAGCTAGCCAGGCTTTTATTTACCGAGATACTCTCAGTAGCTTCCTGGGTTATCAGAGAGGGGCAGAGGAATCGAACTCAGCTTGGCCGGCTGGCTGCTTGCAAGGCAACTGCCTTACCATTGTGCTACCGTATCCTTAGAAAATGTATCTTACAAGTACCCAATACTATTTTTTGTAAATATATGAATGAACAGAAACTATTAGCTAGATCACTTACAGAAATAACCCTGAGATTATGATGTGTGAGCAAACGATGCATCAAGGAAGAGCTTTCAGGAGAAATATACCAAAGAAGCAGGGATGCAGAGAGAGCTACAGGGGATAAGGTGCTTATTTTGATTGCCTCAGGTTCTGGTTATATCCCCATAACTATATGTAGTCTCCTGAGTACCACCATGTGTGGTCCAAAAATTTCCACCCTCCCCGACCAAATACATGAAAGCAGCAGGAAATAGTTGTGTGAAGAGGTGGGACATGAGTGTGTCATCTCAGGAAAATAGTCTGCCAGGTTCAGATAGTTCAGTCAGTCCCTACACAGGGAATCAGACTTGAAGTTCCACCTCAGTATTGTACTGACTTAATAGAGGGGAGCTGGGTTTTCATAATCCTTTCAGAGTCCCAGGCAGAAGCAGATCTCAGAACCTTTCAGGTGCTGTTCTCCAGAGGAGCACTTCATAGGCTGGCTAATAGAATCCCGAAGGCATGAGACATTTTCATTCTTTTCACCACAGAATAAATCAAAACCTGAAAATATTCAAAGAACTGAACCTAACAGAGTAACTGGGTGTAAGGGGGAGGAATGGGAGGAGGCTTGACAGTAGGACAATTTCTATTTATGCTTTAGACATCACCGATTTGCTTTACCTCATGAGTATGAAATTGTTCCTTCACTTCTTCTACATTATTAGAAATCTCTCCTTGTGCTTGCAATGTGTCCTCTGCTGAAAGAAGCCATGAGAGTACTTCTTCTAAAGCTGTTTGGTAACTGTCCAGGTTTACCTCAGTTTCCATCAATGAACTTCCAAATGACTTGACTTCAGGAGCGTCCAAATGCTGCATAATAAAACAAATTTGGTGTTAGACAGTATCCGTGCAGACTGGTCTGATAAATTAAATAACAGATAAAATGAAATATTTTAAATGCTCAAATCTCCACTCACATTATCAGAGACATGAACAACAGACACAACAGCAAGACGGCATTTGAATATTCTTACAAACACATGCTACCATTCTTAATGGTCTTCAAAATTCACTACAAATTATCCTTTTATTAAGCTCATCTGAATCACTATAAAGGGTAAATTAGTATACTCTGTCTTCATGTAGAACTTAAAATGCTATAAACTTTCATTCATTGCTGAAATTTTTTGTTCATATTTTCAATTCTTTATATATATACATATAGAGAGCATTAGTATAATAAATATTTGCATACTTTTGCAAAGGCCTTAAAGGAAATATCCCATTCCAAGAAACCTATGTAATTAAATATTTAACAATTTGCATACCGGTAATGCAGTATGAAAATATGCACGAGAAAGAAAGTAAAATTTAAAAAGAAATACTTCATCTAAATACGTAAAATGTCTAACAGTCATTCAATTCCTACGAATTAAGCCTTAATGTCCAAGAGGACATGGTTAAAATAGCAAGCCAAACATTCAGTATTTGCTATGGAATTTAATTCAGAGTATATGAAGTACAATCCCCAAAAGTTGTGTTTGAATTCTTACTGGGACCTTCAAGCAGATGATCATGAACACAAAGTGCTAACTATTCTAAAGAGAAGTTCTTGGCAACCTAAAATGAAGCTGCTAAGAGTAAATCATAGAAATGCTTCCATCACCCTTAATCAACTAGTTCAAAGATTTAAGACAAGGAAAGGAGATTGAAGGAAACCTGATGATAAATACCCTGGAAGCAGGTAGAGCCTCTCTCCACCTCCAGCCAAGAAATGGAGACTTTAAGAGTCTCTATTTAATATGTTGAGCCCTGGAAAGTTTCCAAGATGAAATGTTGACATTAAGCCCGACTGTATGTAGAGATTCAGAAGCTATGGACCCCATGCTTTCACTAGCCAGATCTCATGGTGTTCTCTGTGTCTGCTGTTTCAACTAGAGAGGTATTATTAACAATAGAAATGTGAGAATGTAAGAATATCTGCATTCACTTATTTTAGTTACACGTTGCAGACCGGTGGACTTCAAACACTGTGAGAAAGATCACAGTGCAGAGGATTTCTTACTGAGGTCAAAGGCAGAGACAAACTGTTAGGATGCCTCAGTGGAAAACATGTACTGGAGAATATTGAAGAAAAAATCAACAAGCACTGTGTCCTAACAGGATTTTGCACAGAAAGCAAATGGCAGTGCAGAGCATCAAGAAGCCACTTTGGGAATTTTCTAATTTGGCCTAAAGAAGAACCTGGTGGCTGATTCCTAACATGAAATGGGATCCCACTGAGTAGCTAAACTTAAAGTTCATTGCAGTCAGCTGATAAATGCCCCAATTTCAAAACCTTTATATTGCAAACTTCTTCTATGATCAAATCTTTTAAAATACCAATGCCTTGGTACCTTAGCCTGTTTACATCATTTTCTTTACCTGTTCCTAGAAAACTTAGAGAAATGGTATCCTATCGATTCAAGCTGAGCCGACTCTAGCATCTCAAACAGAGCCCTAGTGCTTGAGTGGCCCACCTGTATGTCCCTCCTGAAGGACAAGGCAATTTTTGAGGCCCTAGGGATTAATCAAAGCACAATGGTGCATCCCTTCTCTCCATGCCTGAAAAGTATTAATAACAAAGTCAGCAATGATAACAGAAAAAGATTCACAGAGGTTTCCTAGGAGATGTGCAGAAATGAGAACAGCTTCATGGTTGGGCCAGCAGATAAGTTGCTGTGTTCCAGGCTCAGAAGGACTCCAAGCTGCTTTTATCTGATTCTTTTTAATTTTTTTAATTGAATCACCGTGAGCTAGAGCATTAAAAAGCTGTTCCTATTGAGGTTTAGTCATGCAATGTTCCAACACCCACCCCTCCACTAGTGTACATTTCTCAGCACCAACGTCCCCAGTTTCCCTTCACTCCCTCACCTTCCCCTGAATCCTGCCTCTACGACAGTTCTCAGTTCTCTTTCTCTCCTCTCTCTCTCTCTCTGCATTATGGTTTGCAATACAGATACTGAGAGGTTAGCATGAATATCCCTTTACCTACTTCCAACACTCAGTTCTTGTCCAGAATTATCATTTTCAACTATTGTGGTCATACTGGATCCTTCTCTATCTTAACTACCCTCCTCTTCTCCACAGACTTGCGGTTAATTTCCAACCATTGACCTGTCCTCCTGGCCCTGTTTTCCCTGGTCTTGGATATTAGTCTCATATTATTTTTATCTGACAAATGAATGAGTCAGAAGGAAAGGGACAGACATAAAATGGTTTTATCTGAATTTTGACACTGCCATCTTAAAGTTCAGTGTTCAATCTATAAGCCCCTCAGAAAATCTTCATATCACCTTTGCCCTGGGCTTTTGTAAACACAGATGAATGTGGTGACCAAGGAGACTTATGGGCAAAGGAAGTAAATGGGCAAAGGAAGTCTGTATTTTGGCTCCACCTCCATTGGCAAATTGTTTTATGATATCTCCTAAGCATGGACTATTGATTGACCCATAATTTAGCAAGACTTTATAAAAAAAAAAGACCAGCAAATATGCGAAGTCTATGAAGGACTGAGGACATGAAGGCGAACATTCTGTTCAAATTAGAACTTGCTTCTTCTAGTGCAGAAAGCAGAGAATTCTAGACAAATGCCAAAAACACAGAAATCTCATCGCAACTCTCCTTCTTCCTCCAATCCCTTCCTCTATCTGGCAAGAATTTATGCTGAAACTGGTGACAGAAAGAGAGGGAAAGATGTGGCAACTTATGATTCCTTTGTCCTTTCAGTCCTTCCTTATTTATTCATCAGTCAGCTGAATGTAGAGAATGTTCACAGAGAGTACACTGATCAAGAAGAGAAATAAAAAACAGCTGAGCTGGTTATGCAACATGCCCACATTCTGGTTAGAATGAAATATCTATGCATGCACAAGCTATGAAATACAAATGGCATAAAGTCGGTATAAGTTAAGTGTTCTTGCATTTGCACTGACAGCTACAATTGCACCATGTAACAGTGCACAGTAAAACTCAAGCTAATACCTTAAATTTTTAATTTTCTTTATACAGAATGATGTTAAATAGCACATAAAAAAATCACCATAGCCAGTTGAGAGTGCCCATAGAAAAAAATGAAATGGCTTTCTATTTTAGTCACTTTAACTGCACTTTCTTTCCTGCTTTTTGAAAAAGGGGCCCTGGATTTCATTTTCCACCTGGCTTATATGTATTATGGAATCAACTATGTACATTAGGTGGTGATGGGGGACAGGAACCAATGCAATCCAAAATATTTTGCCTTCTCTGTGTCACAGGCAAGAAAAAATGGGAGCTAACTTAATTGTCATAGAACAGGATTCTGAAGGGCCAAAGCTGTGGTGGCAAATTGTTTGAATCCTGACTCTTGCCTACTGAGATCGTGACACCCTGGGCAAATACTTAGACATATTATTAGCTATACTTTCTGCATAAATAAAACAGGAGCAATCATGACTTTTCTTATAAAATTACAGTACAGGGAGTATAGAAAACACTGGATTTAATACTGGACTTACTGTGAGAATCCACAAAAACATTTGATAATGGTAATTATTAGACACTTGTATAGAACAGGATCATTTTAAAACATAGCCTGCCCCAAATTCCCTTCAGTCACCATCAAGAGCTCAACAGTCAGACAAGTACAGTAGAAAATCCATAATGAAACTTCTGAGAGCAAACAACAACTCAGTCCAAGCTTTCTGAAACTTGAACATCAACCTCATTCCCTGAAAATTCTCAGACCTCATTCCCTGAAAATTACCATCGTGAGTTCAAATACTCTCCAAATGGCACACTGGAAACAATGCTACTACTCAAGTATCAAGTACCACAACAGTGTATTTTAGCAGTACACAATTTAGATTTTAGAAATGAGCACCTCCTGATCTGCTGATATTTACAGAGGCTTGACTTTCAGGAGGAAATTTTTAAAAGCAAACTTTTATACTCAAGGACATGATGTCTAGAACTCATTAATTCTGAATCTAAATGTTTTGTCTGAAGATGGTTATTACAAAACTGTTTAAAGAGAGCCTTACTAAAACCACATTCAATAAACGTGAAACTATACAAATAACTTGATCCATAAATTCAACTGAACATACTTATATACCAGTATAAAGGTGTGAACGTGCACACACACACACACACAATGGTCACACTTGTCGTTTTGGCTCTGAATAATTATTTATCTTCATCCAAAAATTATTTGGCTGATCACCTGCCCTTTCAGAAAGAAACCTCTCAGTACCACCCTGGAAATATGCTTTCTTTAAACAAACCAACAAAAAGCACCCCAAATTGCACCCTGCATTTCATTTGCTACTATTACTGTCTTACTCGATCATTCCAATATGACCTTTTGCAGCTGTTGCCACTTTACACTAACTGTTGCCACTTTACACTAATGTTTGACCAGATTTTTTTTTCAATTTCAAGTCAAATTTCTCAGTGATTCACGTAACTATTTTCGTGGATCATTATTCTGTTTAAAATTAAATAGAGGGGCCAGATACATAGTATAAAGTATATAGTAAGGCACATGCCTCACATGCGACTGAACCAGGTTCACTCCTTAGAACCATACAAGGTCTTCTGAGCATGGCCAGTAATGATCCCTGAGCACAGACCCTGGAGTAATCTCTGAGCACCACTGGTTGTGGAAAAAAAATTAATAAAAACAGAAAAATAAATAGTTAAAAACCACATTTTAAAAATTTATCTTAAGGGTTATTATTGTTCTACATTTTCTCTTTTTTTTTTCTTTTTGGGTCAGACATGGCGATGCGCAGGGGTTACTGCTGGCTCGTACACTCAGGAATTACTCCTGGCGGTGCTCTGGGGACCAT